TCAGACTCAACAGGAGAAAAGAACTTAAAATTTTCAAAGAAGACAACAGTAGCGGCTATCCGCACACGTTGCAGACCAGGATCATAACAAATATACCCTTTGTGAACATCACTGTACCCAAGGAACGCACACCGAGCTATCTTGGTAGTTAACTTAGTGCGTTCCTTCCGGGACATAAGAACAAAACACAAGCACCCAAAAACCCTGAGACGAGAGTAGTCAGGATGACAAGAGTGCAAGGCAAAAAATGGGCTAACATTTCGAAGAACAAGAGTGATCTGATAATTTATGAGACGAACGGCCGTAGCGACAGCTTCAGGTCAGAAACGAGAAGGGACCTGGGACTCAATAAGGAGGGCACGAGTTAGGTCAAGCACATGTCTATTCTTACGCTCAACTAAACCATTCTCTTGTGACACTCCAGGACAAGATTTCTGACACAAAGTTCCAAGGGATCGATATAAAGCCAGCAACGGGTTTGAACTAAACTCACCACCCGGATCAGATCGAAGAATTTTGACCGGTTTATTGAACTGAGTTTGCACCATTTTCAAAAACTCCTCTGCAATGGCCTTAAGATCAGACTTTAGGCGCAGAAAATAAACCCATGTGAATCTAGTGGCATGGTCAATAAAAAGTGCAAAGTATCGAAATTCATGTCGAGAAAGAATAGTCGACGGACCCCAGAGATCAGAGTGCACAATATGAAATGGTTCAGAAATCACCGTCGAACTAGAAGGAAAAGATATACTGATAGTTTTAGCCTCAACACAACTGCTACAATTATGTTTAGATGACATCGAGACATTGTGATTGCCTAACAGAGATTGACGAAACATTTGTAACAAACTACCAGAGTTAGGGTGACCCAAACGCGAATGCCACAAATCCCAAACATTATTCGACTCACTAGGAATACTGGAAAAACTCGACACCAAAGGACTACTAACAGGCCTACTAATAACTGGCACAGGAGATAACGATGATGATGGATTGCTGCGTTCGTCTAACTGAAATAACCGCCCCCGCTTACTCCCTCTGCCGATTTGCCTCCCCGTCTTCAGGTCCTGCACAACACAGCCAGACGGTGCGAACGTAACCGAGCAATCATGATCAGTAAGTTGTCTCACTGAAACGAGGTTAGGTACTAAATTGGGGACACGTAACGTATCAGGTAAATCAATTTTAGGTTGCTTTATACACCCCATGTCGTGAACTTTCAAATTATCACCATTAGCAACTCTTAAGTTGATATGACGCACCGGTTGGAGACTCGTAAACTCAGCAGAATTTTGCGTCATGTGATTAAAGCAAGCTGAATCCAATAGCCAAGGTGATGATTTCGTACCTGTGAAAAGGGACTATAAGGATGAAAGTGGAAGAAAGAACTTCACGTGGAGATTCATGTCTTTTTGTTTTTTCAAGTGGAACACAAGTATCAAGTACAGTTGAGGAGTGATCTGGAAACCAGGAAAATAAAGGTTGTAACGAAGGATCAAAGTGATTCTTCTAAAAGTAGGAGGAATTTAACCACCAGGGGAGCAGCGAGTGCATCAAAGTTGTATGCATCATCACCAAAATCAGGCAGGATATGTTTCCAGTCTGTTTCATCAGAAGTTTTGCAGCACATTCTAGTGAGAGGTGGGATGGCAAACGGACATGTCTCCATGGTAGTCCAGTGGTGGGAAATAACATGTTTGGAGTTATATATATATATTAGGTGTAAAAATGTGGTTATCAAGTTTCAAAGGAAAGCTGAGAAAGGAGGCAAGAAATTGTTCATCTCCTAACTGATTTATGGAAGAGGATTGAAACAGGCTGCATGAGTAATGCTGGAAATAATGTTCTGAATTTAAGAAAGATCGAGCAGCGTGTCGACAAGTTAGACTACAATGGAGTTTGGAGCTTGCCTTTTATGTTGAATTCATGAAGTTAGATGGATATCTGCTGCTGCAATTTGGTTAAGCTGCTGCTACCACTAAAGTTAGCTGCTGAAGGACTTGCAGAGTTTGGAGAACATGGGTTGAATGATAAACTGAAACTTTAAAATGTTTCAATTTAGGGGAGGAAATGTTGAAATAAATAGCAGATGCTATTGCTTGTTGCTGTCGTGTTTGTGGTGTTCAAGTTGGGCTTCAATGTTTCATGTAGAGTTGGGTTGGGCTTTCACTATTGTGTCATTTGTATTGTTTATGTTTCTTGATAGATTGATTTGTGGGTCAAATGAGTTTGCTTAGTCAGCTCTAGATAGACGGTTCTGTTATTGGGTTGCTGAGTTTTAGGGACGTGAGAGCGAGGGTCGAGATAGACGTGAGGGTGAGCTGTATATATATTCTGTTCTTCCATTCAATAAAGTTTTCGTCAGTTTGCAGCTATTTGGTTTCTACATTGACGTGGTGAGTAGATCCTCCTCCGTCCAGAGTTCTTGAGCAGCGGTGAGGTAAGCCGTAATATCTCGATCTCCCTGTTCCAATTTATCTAAAGCCACATGAACTTCAAATTGGCGGGCGGCGCTTGCGGTGGAATAAGTTGCAACTAGTTGTTTCCACATCTCATGGGTTGTCTTATGCATACGAAGACTCACACAAATGTTTGGATCTACCGAGTCCAGGATCCACGATCTTACCCGAGCATCGTTCATATTCCAGCGGACAATCTGTTCGGCAGTGGCCGGGGAGTTTTGTTTCGGATCGGTTCCATCCAGGACCCCGGCGAGTCCCTTCCCTTCAACACGAACACAGAATTGAAATTCCCACAGCATATAGTTCTTTGGGTTTAGCCGAATTGACAATCTCTCAGAATCGGATGCCGAAAGCTCTGATACCATGTTAACGTAGCTAAATGAATCGAAACCTTAACGAGATGAACACACAGATTTAACGTGGTATCCCTAGAATGCCAGGACTAATCCACGGGAGAGGCAAGCTCTCCAAGAAGAAATCGTACTCTGTTTGCTTAGGGTTCTCGGTGGAATACAGGAGGAAATAAATAGGTTTGCAACCCTAGCATGCCTACGTCTGCATGATTCGAGTTTGCATAGGCTTGGTCCAATCAACACAAGTCTCCGTGGCCCAAGACCCAATACGAGACCCATGATACACTGACCATGCCCAAAATTATGGAATGAATCTACACATTCGAGTATACGTAAAAGGAAGGGCACCGACTAGGGGGTAATTAACATAAACGGTCACAAACCTTTACACTTAGTACAAAACGGTCATAAATCTTTAATTTGTAACGATTTGGTAACTCACTTTTGATCATATACCAAAACGGTCATTCCGTCTATCTCCGTCAAAAAAATCTGTTAATTTAGTCTAGTCAACCGTCTCGTCAGCATCCATGTCATCAAAAGAATTAATAAAAAATAAATAAAATCAAACCAAACCAAACCCAGACCCTAATTCCAACCCAACCCAAACCATTCCTCTGTCTCCTCTCCCTCTTTGCCGCAATCTCCACATCGCCAGAGGACCTCAACCCCCGAGCAGCAATGGTTTTGGGGATAAGGGCTCTGAAGAGGAAGTTTGACGATCTAATGGCGGCGGAGGAGGGGAAACGGCGGCAGTTGGAGACATTGGAGGACGAGTAGAAGGAAGGCAGCGCAGTCGGTGACGGAGTCTGTGGCAAACATATTGTGGTTCGCAGTTCCAGGTGCGGATTCCCAGGTGAAGGGGATGGAACTGGATGCACCGCCGTAGTAATACCCTGTAGGAGGGGTTACGGGTAGCAGTGGGAACGAAATCGTCACCCACCATTTGGATTCAATGTAAGAGAGGCAAACTTAGCTAGGTATAATCTCGCATGTGCCAATTGGAACGAAATCACTTCGTTCCTATTTGTTTTTCCCCCTCTGTGTTTTAAGTTTTAATTTTTAATTAATTTAATGAGATGGCCATTACCAAAAAAATGAAAGAGAGGCGAATGAAGGTAAAGGGCCACAGAGGAAGAGAGATTCCGTCGAGGACAGTTCTCCACCATGAATCGTTGGGAGATCGAGAGAGTTAAATCGAAGAATACCTCATGGGGGTTAATTGAGGAAGGCGGCCTGAGATTTTGAGAAGTTTTGCGACGGACAGTGAGGATAAGAGAGAAGGCCAGGTCGAGCTGCGACCGCGAGATGGTGGACGGCGGCAAGAGATCTGAGATGAGGGACAAGAGTTTTGTCTTAGGTTGGGGTCAGGTTGGTTACGGGTGCCGGTTTGGTTCAGTTTTTTGGTTGTTTTTTTTATGAATTTTGTTAATGACGTGGACGCTAACAAGGCAAATCTAACAGAAAATTGGATGGAGATTAACAGAAGTGACCATTTTGTACAAGTTCATACTTTTGTTACAAAATCGTTACAAATTAAAGGTTTGTGATAATTTTGTACTAAGTGCAAAGGTTTGTGACCATTTATGATAACTACCCACCGACTAGGAGTACATGTCTGCCTTAGCATACGACACTGACTCATTCCAATTTGAGGAATAATCACACAAGTCCAAGTTCCCATCCGAATTTTGAATTTGGGCTCGTTGAGATGGGCAGATGGCTTTTGAAAATCCGGGTATTATCTAGTCTTCTTCTTCCCTCCAATGGCGGAGTGAGTTATCATGTTGGACCAAACAACTAACTAAAAGTTGCTCTCATGGACTGATTTCCAGCTTCCGAACCATCGCCGCTGCTTCCTTTCCCCCTTGGAAACAAGCACAAATTTCCCTTTGAACATTCAGCGTCAGATTTCTCTGCATTGGCACTATATATATACCCTCAAACCACCCTTCCCCAAGATATCATTCTCTCACAGGCATTTCATCAGTCACTTCACGTGCAATATTAATTCCTCACCTCACCTTCCTCCCATAAACACACACCCAGAAAAACCATATTGTTTCAGTTCCATTTCCGTTCCTAGCTAGATTGCAAGTTATTAACCAAGAGCCCAAGAAAAACATCAATGGCGAGAGCAGGATTCGTTCGGATTGTGAGCTTTCTGATCATCGCCGCAGCGGTTATGATTCAGCTGTTTGGCTGCGGAGTAGAGGCTCGGCCGTTCAACATATTGAGGGCCGATGCGCACAGCAGCGGGAGCTGGTGGGCCGATGCGGCCTTCTGGGACGGGCTGGCCCTTGGGGCGGTGAAGCAATCGGGGCCCAGCCCGGGCGTCGGGAACAGTTTCACCGATGCTTCCAATGATGGCCCCAGTCCAGGAGTGGGGCACTGATCATTTAATCGTATTTGATTAATTAAAATTAATTCGTTATACCGTTTGTTTATATAAATCTTAATTATTTAGTTCATTTTCATGGGTAGCTACTTGGAGCACTTTACACATATAATTCACTATTAATTCTTTTGTTTCTCACTTTTGGTATTTCTCTATATAGTGGCTGCTGGCTGCTAGCCTGCTATAAAGTAGTGTATTATTGTTACACTCAATAGCGTTCTTTTTCATTTCTTGTTCTTTAGTGCATGGTTGATTGTACATTCGTTCGGTTCTGGAAAATGAATACAAAATACGGTGTTTCTCCACTTTTGAGATTAATATTGACCTTCATTTTGTGATGGTGATTGGATGAGTCTCCATTATTCTTTAAAGATGATTATTGAGTGTTTTTTCTGCATCTAAACTAGCACTCATTATCCTTCGTGACATCCGATCGATAAACTATCACTTATAAAAAACCGCACTCAAATGGTATCGTTGAATGATTGGTTCTGATTCAAGTATATGTCTAATTTCTTACCTTAATTGTCACTAAGGACCCCTCATCTTAAAACGGGAAATAATATAATAATTGGTTGCAAGTGTGGATATAAAAAAAACAAATACATTAAACAAAACAAAGGTGGGATATGTATACACGATATTATCCTGCTTAATCCTAACTTTGAAATGTCAGATTTCTAACATTTTATTCAGCTTTATAATATATTTTTTTATGAATGATTAATTCAACAACTTTATAATATTGGATAAAGGGCATGTTTGATGTAAAAAATAGTAAATGGCATGTTTGATAAAACGTCATAGTAGATGGGCATATTATACGGGTCCGGATACTATAATAGTAACAACAGGGGTAAAAACGGAAATTAACAACAAAATTAAAAAAATATAAGTTTCAAGTCCTATCTGTCCTCTCTCTCAATCTCCCGTACGCTCCTCCCCGCTGTCGGCAGGAACGCGGCTACGACTCCGATCTGGCGGCTACGACTCCGATCTGGCAGCTACGATTGAAGCGTCCTTCAATCCCCGTCGTTCCTTCTTTCTTCCGCCGCCGAGGTCGCTAGTTCTCCTGTCGTTCCTATTCGCCGCCGTCAATCCTTAGTTCGTCGGTTACCTGCAAAACAGAGCATGAGAAGGCAGGGAACAACCACAAAAACAACGATTCAACACACACTAATGACGTGGACTGGACCTCTTTGTACATATTATTTGTTGCATGTTCTTTTTGAGACTTTTGCTTAATAACCATGTTCACGTAGAAGGGTATTTAAGCTAAGCCTTGGCCGAACTCTAACCCTAAGAGGTTGAGCGGCAGCTTTCTGTTCTTCAACCAGTAAACCTAGTGAAACTCATACTGAGAGCTATGCTCTCCGTGGACTAGTCCCGATCATCGGGGATACCACGTAAATCATCGTGTTCTTATTATTTCCGCATTATCAAAGTTTTCATGGTATCAGAGCTGAAGGTCATTACAGGTTGATCTTTCATATTCATCATGGGCACGAAGGACGAGGACAGTAGCGGCGGCAAGACAGTCGTCATGTTAGACGATGTGATCCCGATCAGCTCTCCCCTCTATTTGCATCCTTCCGAGAATCCCGCACAACTCTTTGGTGGTGATTTGCTTAATGATTCGAACTATGATGAATGGGTAAATGACATCACAGAAACCCTAATCGCCAAAAATAAATTGGCCTTTGTGGATGGTTCTCTTCCCCGCACCAAGGCCGGCTCAGCTGTTCGGCAGGATGCCTGGGATAGGTGCGACGCCACCGTGAAGGGATGGCTGAAAACGACCATGACGAAGGAAGTACGCAACAGCGTGCGTACGGCTGGTACAGCAAGGGTTATCTGCGCGGATTTGCAGCGCAGATTTAGCCGAGGCTCCGCACAGCGGGCATACGAGCTGCGGCGCAGTTTGAGCGGCTTTCGTCAGGAGAAGCTCACCGTCTCGGCTTTCTATACTAAACTCCGTTCGACCTGGGACGAGATGCAGGCGATAGGGGGAGTGCCTCGTTGCACTTGTGCCGGCTGTACATGTGGTGGCTGCTCATGCGATTGGATTCGGGAGTATCAAGGGAAGCAAGACACTGAACGGTTGTTCGAGTTCCTCATGGGGCTTGATGACGTGTACTCTGTCGTCCGTTCTCAAATTCTCGGTACCAAACCCACACCGACGTTGGCGGACGCTTATCAAATGGTAGCTGCCGAGGAGCAACATAGAAATATTGCCAGCTCACGTCGTCCTTCGGTCGATACGGCAGCCTTCCAAATTCTTGCCGAGTGAGAGCCTCAAGTGGACAATGATAATCCCCGCTGTTCTCACTGCAATCGCCAAGGGCATACACGTGACACATGCTACAAGCTGATAGGTTACCCTCCAGGACACCCTCGAGCTAAGGCCAACAATGAACGAGCTTCTCGCGACGATCGTGCCGCTCCCCGCCGACCCAAAGCTGCACATGTGGAACCCGATGCAGATTCTCCCATTCCAGGCCTGTCCGCGGCTCAATTCGCACAGCTTAAGGAGTTCTTGTCTTCGAATTCGGCAGAGTCCTCATCCGCACCTACTGCACATATGGCTGGTAATCATACTGAACTTGACATGTGGTTGATTGACCTGGGTTGCAACGAGCACATCGTTCGTGATATTGGTTGGTTAGATACAGTTGATTCAGTTCATGGGCAGTCTCAAGTTCGCATACCGGACGGTTCTGGTATCCCGGTTATGGGCATTGGGTCAGTTATGTTTAGTGAAACCATTCGGCTTGACAGGGTTTTACACGTTCCTGCTTTCAAGTGCAACCTGTTATCAGTTAGTCGGTTAGCACAGGATCACAACGTGGTGGTAACATTTTTGCATGATTTCTGCATGCTTCAGGTCTTACCTTCCAAGACGCTGATTGGAGTGGGACGGCTTAAGGATGGACTTTACTATCTTCCTCGGAGTGGTGTGCTTGTGCGGGGTCAAGCGAACAAGGCAACTAGACCCGTGGAGTCGGTGGACCTATGGCATACACGCCTCGGCCACCCTTCTTTAGATAAACTTGCTGGTTTAAAGGATCATTTGGGTTGTACTGTTTCTTCTTCGGATTCTAAGCCCTGTGATTCTTGTTTATGGGCTAAGCAGACTCGGCTTCCGTTTCCTTTGAGCACCATAAAAACTAGTGGCAGTTTTGAATTACTTCACATGGATATTTGGGGCGCATATAGTACGCCGACTTTTGATGGTTCACGTTACTTTCTCACTATAGTCGATGATTATAGTCGTTCTACATGGGTTTATTTAATGAAGTACAAATCTGATGTAGAGCGCTATCTCAAACTGCATTGTGAGTTAGCACGCACCCAGTTTGGCCGCCCTGTCCGTAGAATTCAAGCTGATAATGGACCAGAGTTCCAAACTCTGTCTCTTCGGGCATACTACGAAGAGAATGGTATGGTTCTTCAGACATCCTGTACGGATACACCGCAACAGAATGGGGTCGCTGAACGCAAACACCGGCATCTCTTAGATACACCCCGTGCTCTCATGTTTCATGCAGGCTTACCAGTCAGGTTTTGGGGCGATTGTGTGCTCACCGCCACCTACTTGATAAATCGGTTACCTTCCTCTGTGCTCTCCGGGAAGACGCCCTTCGAGGTCCTTTTGGGCAAACAGCCGTCTTATTCGCACATGCGCTCCTTTGGATGTCTAGTTTATGCTAAGGATACTCACCAAGGACTCGACAAGTTTGCAGAGAGGGGGAGAGCAGGTGTTTTTCTCGGCTATCCAGGTACTCAGCGAGGTTATCGAATTTATGATCTTCGCAGTGGTAAGATCCTTGTTTCCAGAGACGTACAGTTCGTTGAGCAAGTCTTTCCTTATAAACTCAAACGAACAAGTACTACCTCACCCTTACCTGCCGAGCCTCGTCCGGCCATGCACGTACCCATGCATTAGGATCACTCTATGCACGTACCCATGCATGAGGATCACTCTCCCATCGAGCTTGACCACATGGCTTCTGATGAGGAGCCTTTTGATCACGTGGGAGCTCCTGATGACAATCCTCACTCACCTAGTTCCTCCAGATTTGAGGATTCCCCATCTTCCCCTTCACATGTCCAGGATACGAATGATGTGCACCCCTTGACAGAAGAAAATGTAGTGAGCTCCTCCCATGAGCTGGATGCACCGCACGTGCCTCGACGAAACCCGCCGCGAGATCGACGTCCTCCTGGATCGCTTAATATATATGAGGTAGATCTCCCCAACACTAGATCTCATCAAGTTCAGTTTCCGATTTCTAATCACGTTGATTATCATCGGTTTTCCCCTACTCATACTGCCTTTCTTGCTGCCGTGGATTACTTGTTTGAACCGCGCACTTATGCTCAAGCGGTTAAGTACGAGCACTGGCGGGAGGCGATGCGAAAGGAGATTGAGGCATTACAGGCACAAGGGACGTGGACCTTAGAGATGCTGCCACCGGGAAAGAGAGCTATCGACTACAAATGGGTTTACAAAATTAAATTTAAGCCGGATGGGACGGTTGATCGTTATAAAGCACGCCTCGTCGCAAAAGGGTTTACTCAGCTTGAGGGCATAGATTTCCATGATACATTTGCCCCGGTTGCAAAGCTGGTCACAGTTCGCGTTCTATTAGCCGTTGCAGCCAAGCAGGCATGGCCATTGCATCAGCTCGATGTAAACAACGCCTTTCTGCATGGTGACTTGGACGAGGAGGTGTACATGAGGGTGCCTCAAGGGTTTGCTCAGGCTGGTGATCATCGTGTTTGTCGGCTTCGGAAGTCGTTATATGGTCTCCGTCAAGCTTCTAGGAACTGGTACACCAAATTCACTGATGCACTGTTGGAGTTTGGTTTTACAGTTTCCCGGGCGGACCATTCTCTTTTCCTCTATCAGGCGGCAGGGGTGTTTGTTGCTGTGCTTATTTATGTTGATGACGTGGTTCTAACTGGAAATGATCCCGATACTATTGCTCGGGTTA